GCTTTTTTGTGCTGGATCCTATGTCTTGACCCTCATCTTGGCATTTTTATATCTCCAAATACTCCAGTACATGTGAAAGTTTACTTCTATGACTAATCCTATTGATTCGGATCAGACTACTCATGTGAATGAAGTTATGTGTTAATATAGGACTTTAAAGGCTCAGGATCTCTTCATCCAAACCTTATCCTCCCAGCCTTTCACCATGACCCATGAATTCCAGTGGTTTTCATTCATATACAAATAAACAAGCCAGGGAACCAAGGGATATTAATTGGCCTGGAGCCAGGGCAAGGATGTCTTTTTTCAGTCTGAGGTTCTTAGGTCTGGTCTCCTTGTCCTATTTCTGATAATGGTTCTCAATTCAATAAAATTCTTGCCTGGGCTTCCCAAGCATTGACTGCCTTTTAAGGCAAGTATTTGAAGCTATGACAGATGTAAGATAGCTGGTTTATTTGTTATGAAGTGTTTAGTAATGCATTCACATGAAAAATGCTTGTGAATTTTAGTAAAGAATGACATACAGAGTCTGAATTTTGTCTTGAATCAGTTAGTTTGTAGGTCTAGGAGAGCTGGTTTCATCATGTTGAAAAAGAAAATCCTGTGAAATATATTAAAATCCAGATGCAAGGGGGTTTTCTTTTTTTTTTTTTTTTTTATTACCAGGTTTGCCAAAATACCAGTAAGGTTATGGAACTAATAAAGTAAATCCTATGCTCGTGTGACTCAATTGCATCTAGTCTGAAGATAAGTCTGACTTAAGGATTCAAATATATGAAGTGCTTGCACAGTAGATGTGAAATGAGTGTATCTAAGTATTAAATCATGAGCAAGTTTTATCCATCTGCTAAGTATATTAATGTACTGCATCATGTATACTGTACTTTAATGTGCTTATATTAAATTTAAAGTGCCAGAAGGCAATCAATTTGGATACTTGAAAGTGAAAGGCTTTCCCAGCTTTTTTTCCGAAAACACTGAATTAGGATTTTTATTGGGTTGGTGGTTTCTTTGGTGATTCTGTGCTATCTTGGCAGGTATTATGAACAGCTCAGCAAGAAATACTGTTCTACCTAACCTGCCAGAGAGCTCAGAAGTGAGGCAAGTCATGGAAGTGCTGGATTGTGGTTCTAGCTTGAATTTTACCCATGTAAGTACACAAAAGTTGAGTAGAATCTCATTTAGGGTGCAAGATGCACTCTAGTTCAAAGGCTGAACTGGGCAGGAGTGAGAGAAATGGAGAAAGCAGTAGAATGCAGATACAATTCAAGTCCAAGTATAATGAATATTATATAAGCCATGTTTGAAAGTGGGAACATTTGGAATAGAAAGTATCTTGAAGCATTTATGACCATTATCAGGCATTCAAGATTTTGTGCTTCTGTGTGTCACCTTAGTTCCAACAGAGTCCCAGATTCCAATTTCTACTATTTATTCTCTGCCTTTCTTGACCATGTATGCAAAATACTTTACAAACCTAGCAGACGGGTGCTTATTTTTCACCAATCTGTTTCTGCGTAATTCTAATTATGAATTTATGTTGTATCTGGTAAAGAAATCCAGTAATGGATTGTGGATTGGTCAGACAGAATACAGCAAGCTGTAGACATAAAAATATGGAAAGAGCTCCAGACACTAGCTCTGTCTAGTGGAAAACTGTTATCTGCAAACGCCATCCACATCTTCAAACACAGACCCATGAAAAGCAAACAGTAGCATCTTGTGTCAATACCTTTGGCCTGGTCATGCACGAGATCTGCTGAAACATGGCATTCAGAGATTCGAATCTTCAAAGTGAGAGCACTTCCCTCCTGGTGGGAAGCGTGGCTGCCTCTGGTCTGCATGCACAAGCTCTTCAGCAGACCTTAGTTAAAATTCTTTTTGCTGCTGTTTGAGTTGGAGCGCTGCAGATCTGCCGTTTCTTATACTCCACCTGCATGTGTTAATGGCCAGTTCAATATATCTGGGGTACAGTTCTTATTTCAAGCGGCTTTATTCTAGCTACCAAATGCAAAATATACTTTTTAAGCGTTTTAAGTGGTTTGTAACCTGACCTTGCATGGTATATCACCTTATGCGTGACCAGCAATTTCTGAGACACAGTTCCTGACTGCAAGCAGTTAAATTACTGGTTACAGCCATCTGGTTTACTCCTGGAGTAGGAGTTTGACTCCTTAGACCAAGTTACTCTAATTCAAAACCTATAAATCTTCACCAATAAAAAAAAAGGTAAAAAATTGTGGCTGTTTTTAAGAGAAGGAAAAAAACCCCAACAGCCCAGTTCTTTCTTTGCATGGATAGCATTCTCAAAAGTGCTACAGCAATCTGGTTTCAATCTTAGCTATGATCCTAAGTAGATGCCTTCTTGACTCTGGTATCATCATGGCTGCAAAATAAGAAGCAGGCTCACTGGCACTGAACATACGCATGTCCTGGATTTGCTCTGCCTCCTGCTTGTGGAAAGCTGGCAAAAGCAGCAAGGCTGAGTCTTACATGTTTTTTTTTCTCCAGTTTATTGTGTTTAGATGGGGTAAGCATACTGCAAAGCTGCTGGTTGTCCACTTGATGGTATCAAGTAACTGAACACTGGAGGGTATAGCTGCTTAATGCTTTCTGTTTGGGCAGACGTGACCGGAGATTTTTATACCAGGTAAACCAGCTGCATTATGTTCTTCACCTACACAAACAAATCCAGTGCTAGATTTAATCAGACTGTGCTTCAATTAGCTTGCTGCTCAGAGTCTATAGTCCAGCCTAGTCTATTCTGGACCAGCCTTGCTGGGAGGCGGATAAATACAACAGGAAAATCATCATGGTTTCCTGCAAGAGAATTGCTAATTTGCATTGTGTCCAACAGAAACATTATGATCTGGCTCATTTTGCAATCTTTACAACAGCAAATACATATAAATCTAGTGCAACAAGGGACTTTCTGCCTCAGGGTAGCTCATTTCTGATATGGAATATACCACATTCAAAATAAATGGATGGCATGATGCTGGGTCAGAAAGGTACATGGACAGAAAGACTGCACCTTCTGGCCAAGCAAAACATTGACCCAGGTCACAGTGGTACATGGGTATGCAGTTGTCTGTGCCCTGAATGGGCACTGAAGCAACCAGAGGATGTCCTTATCCCTGATAAGAAGATAAATAAGAAGAGCTGATCTCAGGAGGAAATTTCACCCTGTCCTAGATGAGGCAGCACCCACTTGAGCATGGCAGCAGCAGGGCACGGGCAGCTGTCCTGCCTGCAGCAGGGCCTCAGTAACCCCCTGCATAAAATCACAATCATATCCCGAGAGTCTGAAGCTCTGTATCTGCTGGATGTCACCACAAGCAGGGGTGAGTAATGGCACTGGCTACTAACAGCAGGGGGTAACGCTAAGAGCTGAAGCTGGCGCCAATGGCTCTGAGAGCCTCGGGCCGTCAGCGGCACCAAGGCATCCTGGGACTGCTCATACCACTCTCAGGGAGCCCAAATAAGAGCATGTTGGTATTATTTGTTTTCTTCTATCAGACTATTCATTCCAAATACCATTGCATCTTCTTATTGTCAACAGTCTGTGGACAAGGCCATGTTTTGAAAAGAGCAGTTGCTATTCACAAGCCTTGGTCATAAGGTATGTGGCACTTGGGGGAATTTGTTTGCAAACTGTTCATTGCAACTATTAACTGTTTATCATGAAGAAATTATCACCTGGGGCTATGTAACCATGATTTCTTCTGCCTGACTAGATTCCACAAAACTTTTTTCTTAGAAAGGAGAAAGACAAATTACAAAAGATAAATGACTAGCTATGAACTTCTGGTAAGCTTTATTCAAAGTCTATGTAATTATACTGAAGCCCACAAAGCTTTTTGGATCCTTGTCTTCATGGCATTTGTGATTGCTTGAATACTTGGGAAACAATAGGTAATAAAACTGCACAAATATGACTGCATAAGGAAACTTGATTCCTTGTACGAACGAACTCTCAGTCTTATCTGAGAAGTGCCATAGTTGGACAAGTCTCTTCTTCGTTCCACTAGTCTTTATATCTTCCAAATAGTCAGTATTCACACGAATAAATGCCAGCCAGGAGCTGTGTGCACCTTCAGATTCTTGTCCTGCTTTGAGAAGCTTCTCTGGTTTGAATGCTGGGTACAAGGGATGTCACACGAGGTGCTACAGAAAAGATGCACTGTGGTTATGCCAAGACGAGAACCAAACCACAACAGCATTTGGAAGGTAAGAGGCAGAGCGGAAAGGAACAGAAATCAGCAGGCTCTCCACCAGCCCATGTGCGCAGTTGGGCTGAAGAGGTGTCTATGCTTCTTTTCTAGCCAAACACCCGGAGCAGGGCAAATGGGTCAGTGTGCACGAAACAGTGAAGAAACTACTTGGTAAATAAACAGAAACAGCTAAAATTAAACCGACTCGCCGCAATGGGAGGCAAGTTCATTCTGCTCCTTTGGAAGTGAGCCCTCGCATCCCGTGTGCGCGCTCCCTGGAAGCTGGCCGCTGAGTTACACTCATTTATCCTCCGTGCTCTAAAAAAAGACCGGGACGACGGATCACTTCCCGTGTTTTATGCCCGTGCCGTGGGCATGACAGCGCGGCTATAAACCGCCGTAAATCAGCGCAGCTTCCCAGCACCTCTCCCGGCGGGGCAGGCCGCCCCTTCCGCAGCACCTCCCTGTACCCCCCACCTCTCCCCGCTCCATCCTGTGGCGGGGCGCCAACCGCTCACCCTCATTTCTTAGTCTAATGTCCCGAGCATACATTATACAGATTGCTGCCTCCCGCCCCGGCCCGCTCCTCCGCCTAGGTGAATACATTATGCTAATGAGGGCGGGAGGTGGGCCGGCGGGCGGGGCTGTGGCTCCGCGGCTGGCCGCGGGGCAGCGCGGGGTACCGCGGAGGCTGCCGTCGGGTTTCTCCGCCTGGCGCGGCTGCTGGGCGCCGTCGCGCAGGTGGAGGGGGAGCAACAAGTCCGACGGCGGCGGGGAGGAGAGCGGGAGGAGGAGGAGAAGGAGGGGGGATACACACACACATACGCTTCCCGCCCCGCGTCTGAAAACCTCTCTGACAAGTGGCAGACCGCTAGCAGAGCACGCTGCTCCTTCCGAAGAGCGGGTGGAAGCCGCGGGGGCTCGCCCCTAGCCCAGCCCTGCTGCCGGCTTTTGGCTCCTCGCCCCCCTCCCATCACCTCCTTCCCCGTCGCCCCTGCTGTGGCGCTGAGTGGAGACCCGCTGCCGGGCGGCGGGCGGTGCTGGCTGCTGTCTCGCCTTGAAAGTGTGCGAGCCGGTTGAGGGCTTTCCTTCTACTTACCGCTATTTTTTTTTATTATTATTATTATTTTATCTTTTTCGCTCTTTATTTTTCTCGTACTTTATTGTTACTGTTTTTTGTTGCCGCTGTTTGTAAACTAATTGCCTCCATGGGGGGCGGAGGAATGGAAATCAGAGCTGCCGCAGCTGAAGGGTGTAAAGGCGCGCTGGTGAAGAGCCGCGGAGCCGCAGGACGGGATGGCAGCGGGCAGCGCGGCCGCGGCGGGGATTGCTGCCCGCGGTGGGCTGGACCGTGCGGCTCGGCGCTGGCGGCTCTCCTCTCCGCGCTGGCTACCGCCTCCTGCGTCTACCTGGGGGTGCGGACCAACGACCTACAGGCCAGGGTCGCGGCCATCGAGGGCGCCCTAGGGGGCTTCTCTACCGCCGCCCCCCTCCCGCCGCTGCCCGGCTTCTCCCTGGAGCAGCTGAACGCGATGATGCAGGAGAAAGTGGAGCGGCTTCTCGCCCAGGTGTGCGGGGCGCGGATGGCCGCTCTCGGCCAGCGAGTGTGCCGGGGATGGGGGGGCCATGCGTGCGGGACGATAGGAGTGCCGCCTGAAGCGATGAGAGGGGCGACCGAAGCTGCTCCGAGGGCGGGAGATGCTGGGGGAGCGGGGAAACAGAGCCCGTACCTCTGGCTGGTGACTGAGCCTGGGGAGAAGCGGGCTTGAGGTGGAGACCGGAGGAGGGGCCCGGCTGCTGGGGCTGGCGGGTCTGGGGGCTTGGGGACCCCCAACGCTCGGCGCTGTTCTCATGCGGGGGGGGGGGGCGGCGGAACTTGCGTCGGAGGCAGGGGAGAGCCGGTGGCTTCGGGCTCTGTTTTGCTGTTGTGGGTGTGCAGAAGACAGAGAGATACCGCGGGTGGAGGCCAAGTGGCGAAGCCGTGGCAGGGTGCGCAGCCCGTGGGATAGCGCGAACTCCCGGCTCGCGTCCCCGCCGGCCGGGAGCGCCGGTTGCGGCGGGTGAGCTCCCAGGGGCCCTCACTTTGCTTCTCTCCCCCTCAGAAATCCTACGAGCACTTGGCAAAAATACGAGTAGCGAGAGAAGCGCCTCCAGAGTGCAACTGCCCACCAGGTAACGGACACAGCGTGGTAATTGCATCTCTGAGGCTTGTCACTCAGAGGGGAAGCATGGGGAGGGGCTTGGTATTCCGTGTTTTTCAAATACACCTAAGTCAGATCTGGGGGATGCCTCTTCAGTCAACAGCTCTACCTTGGGTGGAAAGGTGTGAAGCCCAGAATTATCTGTTTCCACTGTGACAGTAGGTTGGAATTACTGCTAGTTAAAAGCCTTGGTTAGGCTGGGTGATGCCAACTCATAACAATTACAAAGAAGTTAATGATCTATCCCAGCAAGAAGGAATATATTCTCCCGCAGATAGGGCAGTACCGAATCAAGGCATTGTGTGCTTAGCTTGGGATGTGGAACAAAAGTTCCTAGCAAAAATATTGAACAATTTATAACATGGATTGTAATGAGTCTGTTGCAAGTTAGCAGTAATATATACAAGAGCTTTTCAGTCTCGTTTTTCTGTAGTCTTGCATGAAAGCAATTCCCCTAGCAAGGGATTGCAGGTTTCATACAAAAGGTTCAGAACTGTTTATGCGACCAGTGATATTGATTGACTTTGGAAACCGGCCTCCTAATACTGGGATCAGTTGTTCATACGTGCACACTGCAATGTTTCCTATGTTTTTCATGCTGCTTTTTGACAGTGTGATAACTACTGATATTGTTTTAGCCATTAAACTGTCATTGTTGTTTATAAACTTCTGCTAATATATACCCAAGTTCAAATGGTATCTTAAAAGTTAAGAAAATACCAGTATTTCCTAGGGTGATGTGGGAATTCCAGCATCCTCTGTGTGAGGAAGCACACTAGATTCACTGTGTGCTTGATGTGTCCTGCTACTCTGTATGAAAAAAACATCCCATTTACAGGTGGAACATCAACTGTCAACAAGGATTGAGCTCATTTTGTATGCCAATAGGATGTGTGATAGTACTGTGTGTATAAGGAAGAAGCTTTTCCAGTTTAGGATGTGATTCCTGCTAAACTCATCAGTCTGAAAGGAGTACTGAGTCTAGGTATTAAAGCTGGCTACAATGGTTGGTTCAGTATTTTGATGATGCTACAGCTGGGAGGAGAGTACTGGCTGCTAAAAGAGTTACCAGGGCTAACATGAAAAGGACAGTATATGTGACTCAGACTGTTTTAAAAGGGTGCATAGAATTACTCAGTTCCCAGACAGTTTTGGTAAGGAACGTTGGTTTCCTGCCCTCTGTATAATGTTCTCCTTTATGGCTAACATGAGCATACAGTGTTCATCTTATTTTTTCTGTTGCTTAACTGCAATAAATTACAAGATTCATGTTTGTGCACTAAAAATGAGGGTTGATGGTCGTGTTGTATGTAAAGATGTGTTCTGTGAACCTGAAACAGTGTTGAATTTGATGCAAAACTCTCTTCTGCTTCCTTATTTAATTTGCTACAATGTTTCAGTTACTGTTTTCATACTAAAGGTCAGTATCAACTTTTTTCATAGCTGGTGTTATGCACTGCTTTACTTCCCCACTACCACTAGAGCTCCACATTATACCAATTTTTATCTGACCTTTTTCCTTAAGAAATACATTTTACCAAATAGGTAATGAGCAACAGAATAGTTCTCACATGCATTGGAACAAGTCCTTACTAGATGAAAGTAAAAATTAAGTGATCTGTGAAACCTTTTCAAGGGAGCAAGACTCATAAGATCAGGAAAAATTATATAAATTGTTACAATGAAAAAAAATAAATTGCAGAGAGGACTAGCTGGTATGGGGACTAGAAATGTGATATGGAGCTTTTCACCTCCGGGTAGCTATTTCGGTTTGGAAGCAAGTTTTGTAGTGGCTGAAAGATGCTGCCATGTGATAGCCTCATGTTGGACAGCTTAAAATGAGTTGATGCTCTCATGCTTGTTGCCAGTGGACAGGTGTCTACCTCAAAATGGCATCTTCTTGAGAGCCTTGTCTGAGACAAGATGGGCTGAGTGGCACCAGCACCTGAGGAGTGTGCCTTCCTAATAGCAGGCATTAGTCAGAACAGGATAGGATAGAGCAAATAAACGGTTGTTACTTCATTTGGTTCACTTTGTTAGAATTCCCTTCCAACTGGACAGGATGGGCTTTTATTTTCATCCTTACTACTCCTATTTCAAATCTGGACTACCGTGTTTAGAAAAGCATTTGGTTTAATAGGAAAGGTATCAAGTGTTTTTTTCTGTTGCCTGCTATTTGTGAAGCCAAAGAGTACATTGCCTCTTTACTTCTCACATGGTTCCCATGGTGCTGCTTTATTCTGCTCAGCTTCTTCATTTCTTCCCTGGATTTCTGTAATAATAAAATACATGTCTGTTAGGGATGACATTGGGACGCCTTCATGGTACAGAGCTGATTTTTGAAACATCCCTATGCTGTGTGAAAAGGTTGCTGCCAAATGGCTACTGAGTCAGTTTCCTTCATCCTACTCTTTAAAGAGAAATAAAGATTATTTAAAAGTAGGTTACATTGTTCTCTACCAAAAGAAGAGAGGGAAATTCAACCTGCTGACAGGATGGTGAGAACATGGCCTCTGATTTAGGATTAAAGTTATGCAACTGGTGTAGAACCCACTAGCTTGAGATGTTCATCCCATGGTAGGAACTTGCACGTTCAAAGGAAAGTGGGTTTGAATGGCTTGGGTACCGAAGGCAGACAAATTTACAACTGCTCATAGCTTGCAGAGCTGTCCACATGTGGCTTCTTTTAATTCAACAGTAGCCTTGAATTTTGTCTAGAGTGAAGAATTGTTCACATTTCTCTTTCAAAACTTTGTATTCACTAAATGTGGGTTGGTTTTGTTTTTTTTTTTGTGATTATTATTTTCTATTTCCCTAGAAACACAATGCAAGGAGATATTAGAATTTTGAATTTCCACAGGACTAAAGCCAGATACCAAAGATTTTGTAAATATTTAAAAAATGACAGTAGCAGGCATTCTTTCTCTTCTTAAAGCAGAGTAATGAAGTTTGAAAAGTAAATGCATGCTGACATTCCTCTTAAATTACCTCAGCTCTAACAAGAGTGCCAACTTAAATCCCATGCTTGCGACTGGTGCTGCAGTCACTGCTGGCAGTTAGCCTTCTGCAAATGCGACCAGGGTGCAAATTGAGTGGCTGAAATTATTTTTAAAGTAATAAATTACTGTTCCTTTGCCAGATTTATTATTTATTGTAAATTAATGTTTCTATACTGTAAAATATGAACAAAGAAAGTAGGTGTGTAGGTGAGTATTTCATACGTTCCTTTAAATGGCTGTGGTAGCATAATCGGCTTTTATGAGGAACAGTCAAGCACAGTGCTGGATACTTCTTACCTAGTGCCAAGAATTACACTGTTGTGGAAAGAGTAACATGTACAGAAAGCCCAGGGTTACTCCTAATTCAGTAGAGTTTTAAGAAATACTTAGTTTTTTTGTAGATTCTTCAGACTTTCCTCTTTCAGGAAACATTCATGCCTAGGACCTGTAGACCTCAACAGAAATTAATATATGCCACATTTTTTAGTGAATCAATCCTTTATGCATTGTAAGGGTCAAGTTTTGACACTTGCGGTAAAGTGCCAGGATGTCTAATTCTGTAAGTGATCCTCGGAACTGGAGTCAGATGATGTTGGCAGGAGTAGGAGTCAAGTCTGTTAGTACAGAAAGTCCAAACTTGGTTGGTAGGAGGGCTAGCAAGTGATTATCTATGGTTTTGCATGTCCCTTTAGGCCAGTTTGGGGAAGCCATTAATTTCTTTACCCCCCTTCTCTTTTGAGGATTCTAATGAATTTATTCGTTAAGAAAAAAAAAAAAGGAATGAGAGGAAGGAAGCAGCAAGCAGCATTATACAAGTGGGAAAGCCAATGTGCCATACATTTATTTAATTCTTCATTGACAAAGGATACGTAGCATAGCAGCAGAGATGTTTTTTTATCTCTTAACTGCTGTGACACACTGTATATGCCTGTTCACTGTAGCTTGCATGTAAATTGATGGTGTTTTCTGCTTGTTGGCTTGATTTTCCTTCTTTTTTTTTCCCCCAGAACATTAGCTAAACTTCACTGATGAGTACCTAGCAAACTGATCAAATAAATTTGCTATTTTCTTTGTGTCAAAGTTTTTTCCTTTACTCTTTCTCTCTATATATTTTTCCTATCAAGAACCCCAAGTTTTTCTCCTCTTGTGTTTGAATACCTGTGACTTCAAACCTTTTCCAGGCATGGATGCTATCATCGTTCTTCTTTCTTAGCCAGCTATTTGGTGCTGGTTTTGTAATCATGTCATCTTGATTCTCTGTTCTAGTCTCCAAGAGCTTTATGGTTTGGCATTTGAAGTAACTCCTATTTCACTGTCAATTTGCTATGATCATGTTATACAGCTTGTTTCAGTGTAGTTGAGTGTATATAAACCTGTTCATTCAGGAGACAAAATGCCATAAGCCAAGGTTTATTTTTTTGGGGGGGGGGAAGGGATAGAGAATATTAGTTGGTTTTATTCTGGTGGGACAACTGTGTTCTACAGCTACAGTTCTTCAGTAGGATGATGAATGTGTTACATGCATTTTAGTAGCAACATGGATGGTAAAAATCAGTATAATTTTTTAGAATCCCAGTATTGGTTTTGTCTTTTTAAGCACCTAATATTTGTTTTGACATGCAGTGGAAGTACAACTTGGGCACTCTTTCTTATTTCCACATGTTCCATAAGGACTATTTCCTGGAGCATTTTGATTAGTGAGGCTGAAAGAATGGAAAAGAAATCAATCTCGGATTAAAAGTATTCTGAAATAGGTATCAGTAAGGTATTACTTGTTTGTTTGCTTCAAGTTATGTTTATAATGAAGCAGTTCTCTAAAGACTGAAGAGTAAAGAGGAGCTACAGAGACTCAAAAGAAAGTACAGATGTAGAATGTATCCAAAGTGTTTTTCCCTGTTATTTAAAATTCCAGAGTGCACTATCTGAACCTAGCTCCCAGCACTACTTATTTCTGCCATGTCTGTATCATCTA